CTTGGCAATTTTGTCACAGGATGTATCCCCGGTGTTACCTGTCATTGCCCTGTCTGTTGGCCGTGCGTATACGCACGTTGCCCGCGAACCAGCGCGAGGAGACCGAGGGTTGGATTTCGGTTCGCCAGTATTGTAATACAGTCGCAAACGGAGGGAAATTAAGAAAACGAAAACGTACATGCTTTAACGTACGGGCCATTCGGTAACGTCAGTCTGGGACCAGGCGAAAGGACCGGTGGAGCGTGGTTCCTCGCAAAATGCCGGATCCAGTCCACAGACGGGGCCTATTTTAGAAGTCGGTTTGTAAGAGCTGATTCCCTCTTGTCTGATGAAAAGCCGGCTTGTATAATGACCAGTCCTCAGCCCATCGGCAATCAAGTCAAGGGGTTGGTTACGCAACCAAGTGGAGGTGGTACGCGGACAGCTGAGTCGGCTAGTCTGATGACAGCCTTCTCCGTCGTTTCGCACACAACATCCGCTCCTGCCAATGGGAACAAGATTATCACTTAGTCAAACAAAAGTTGTTTCGAGTTATCAATCCAATTTCAATTTCTCAATACTAGAAGTGGTTTATTCGGCGGCAGGATTTACATTACAGTAAACCATTGTCATAGATGTTCCATTCCAGCGCAAGACACACAAAAACGAACAAAATGTACACGATATGGAGCGAGGACAGATTGATATTAAAGATACTGATGACACACGTACTGTAAATAAGACAGGTATTGTTTTTCGGAAGACGATAACACACGGTTTTAACATAAGGAACTACTGACGGACTTCATGCCCAAGTAGCAGGGAGACCGCTGATGCGATGGACTACAATCTCGTGGACAGTGTGAAGGATCAGAAGGGGTGGCGAGCGCAGATAGGATCACGTCGGTCATGTGTATCCGGGTACTTAATAAAGCTCATAGTTGGCAAGACTATGCCAATTCAAGGGCTAGAAAACCCTGGTAGAACACCAGAACATTCACGAGGTCAAATGTGCACAGAGAATGAGTCGTGTTTAGATAAGTCATTCCCGAGACATCGCTTACTCAGCCGGCCGACAACGAGCACAAACCCAAAACGTGAAAATCAGTATTTAGGATGAGAATAAGCACAGCGTAGTTCCGAAGTAAATCTCGATATATTTGTTCCTTCAGCTTAAGGTTACTGGTTTCCCGTGGTATTCTGTCAATCAGAACCCGGCTCCTGTCATTCGCCGGGAACACTGGCAGGATAGAATATCGTTAGATACGTGTAAACGGGAAAAGTCGCCATGACGGGTTATTCAAATGAGCACCTGAACGTAAAATGAGGCAGGTGGACGGATCTTTTACCTCATGGCAAATTTTTATTAAGGCGATCGAGCTTCGTAGATGATTTGATTTAACACTTTGCAGAACAGCAGTTCATGTTGACCCAGGAGCCCGCTCAAGGGAAGTCAGATAGAACAAATAGAGTGGATCTAATGGATCCCTAAACAGTGCAGAGTTCTCGGCACATACCTTCGATCCCACCTTTTCTGAGTATCAGTAACAAGCCTGAACATCGTCGCGTCAGTCCGCATACAGGGCGAGTAGCGTGCACCGATGCGAATAAGGTCAGCCTGGCGAGGACCGATCCACAAGTTTTCATCTTCAATGCGGCAGACGCGTTCAACCACGAGGGAGGGAAGTAGGATTTCGCCGGTTACCTGGTGCTCCGAGTCAAGGCCGACGGGCGCGAAGCCGTAGCCTGCACATGCCACAATGAGAACCACCACTTGCACAAAACTGACAAAATAGGTAAAGTAAGGCCTAAAAGAGAAAGAGAGAGAGTAGAACACTTGGTAGCGAAAAGAGCTGTGACCTAAAGCAGGAAAAGATAAAACTGTTGAAACAGGCAACAGAAAAACGAATTACTTATCACGAAACTAACCGCAATTTCGAAGTACTGTAGATTGCCTAGGTCATGAAATGTCGAGCTCGACAGTTATGGACGAGGCGGGTGGTCTAGCACACACATAAGGCTGTTAATTTTGTTTGTTAAATTGAATTGAGATACAGAAAGCTGTCTTCTAAAGAAGCGTTAGTTTAAAATCTGTTTATCGAATGAAAAACAGGCTAGAATTTGATAAAATCCGACGTTTCTTGCCATTCAAGTAATTAATTATGCTGTTGAAAGCTACTGGTCAAAACTTCTAGCTTGTGTGCGTTGTACTATAAAGGAATATAAATAAAAACAGGGACATGTTCAATAAAACTCTTTCAGACAATGGAAAATTTGCTTTTGCGTTCGCGAAAATCAGGTAACTGAAAATGTGAGAAATTGCACTGTTTTTTTGAAAAACACGAGCCGATCCAGATCTTAAAATTAAGTTTTTCGGATTTTTGACTTTCTGTGCCACAGGCGCAGTAATACAGTCGAGAGACTACAGTTTGTTTTACCACACCGATAATTGGGTTCGCAAACAAGTATATTTATGAAAACCCGCAGCATGCCATCACTTTTCACTTTCACGTACGCGAAAGATGTCCAGGCAATTTTTATTGGCGTTTAACCATTAACGAATACGGGAACTATTATAGCATCTATAGACACAGAATGCATGCAATGATTTTATTGGCAATGCTCCTGTTCATCGCTCTAAAGAAGTGTGAATCTGATAATCCTTTCAAATATAATCTAGCATCTCTGATCAGGGTCAAACGCCCTAACGATTGAGCTACGAGTTCGTCGTCTTGCCGATATTTGATCGGGGATATACAGTGGCATATACGCGTACACCAGCCTGTTAGAGGACACACTCGTCT